CCTCTCTTAAAATGACACAATAATTAAACCAAAGCGGGTTAGGAAGCGTCATAAAATCAATGACCTAGCTGCCCATTTCATAAATAACCAAGATAAAATAATAATTAATAATACAACATCTAGTGAATGTAAATCAACTAATGAAACCTCAAATAGTATTCCACTGGAAATTCCTGACACGTTCCCAGACATTCCCGACATATTCCCAGACATTCCCGACATATTCCCAGACATACCCGTTGTTCACATTAATAAACCAATTATGAATATTACAAACAGACTGTCCACTGAAATAGAAGTGGAACTGGATCATGCAAACTGGCTCATAGACAGACCATTAACGGATAACCGGATCACCTATTTTAATGAATTAGAGGGCAATAAATTACGTGTGTATATCCCCTTATAAGAATTTTTGGTTGCCATAGGTTACTACTCAAGACTTCGTGCAGTAAGTCTAAGCGTACGTGATTTGCTTTTTAAATACCTTCAAAAGGTTATATGATTCACTTCTTTACTTATAATGTTTGTCTGACAGGTGACTTTATCTTCACCTTGACCTAGTACGTTTGACCGAGTATCTGTCTGGTAATTGCCTATTGGCCTAGTGGATAAAATTACTTAATCTCCCGTTATTTAATGCACAACTATTGAGGGCTACAGAAATTTATCGGGAACTGTTTTCCGGGTCGGGTATGATATGCCGCCCCTCTATGGAGGAGCTATTAGAGTGTGTCCTACCGTTTAAATTAGACCAACAAATCCGGAGATTTATTAAAATGTTCAAGCAGCTAGGTGAATTTGATAGCATTTGTGAAAATGATCGGATTTCACTAATAAAGCACGGCTTCACTGAGCTATATATCATGCGATTTGTGCCGTACTTTGACTCCAATACTAATTGCATAACACTTATTATGGTAAACATCTCTCTCTCTCTCTCTCTCTCTCACACACACACACACACACACACACACACACACCAAATAATTAATTTTTAAGTATAACTTTTTGCAGAATAAAGAGACCTCGATACTATTTAATCTTGGATTATATAAACATTTTCCGCGAAATGTATATTATTTGTATAAAAAGTTTTTCAACGAAATTAGTGTTGAATTGGATGACGACCCAATGGTACTAGACTTGGTAATGCAAAATAAATTTTAATTAAATTTACATTGCTTAAATATATATATTAATAATAATTACAGTTAACTGCAATCATACTGTTCAATCCTAATCGACCTAATCTAATACATAGGGACACTGTTAGGTATGTTTTGTAATTTGTTAACATTAATCATTACGGTACATAGTTAACTAAAATAAAATAAATTTAAAATATGCAATTTTTATAGATATCAGCAAGGTATCTACATGTATTTGCTTCAACGCTATCTACTACTGAGATATCACACGGAATCGAAGTCACGGAAAAAGTTTTATAATCTTTTAAAGTCATTACAAAACTTGAAAATATTGTCCGAAAATCAACATAAAAATTGCATGGAAAAGGATCCCGAGTCCATACCATATAAGCTTTTACGAGAGATACTAGGTCTGAGATCCCTGGCTGATATTACCGAGAGAAATGAGAATAATTTTATTGAGCTTTAAAACACTTAATGATAAAATTATGACATATTTCATTATTTTACTTTTAATATTAATATATGTTTTGTTTTTTATGAATTACACGGTCTAAAATAAATTTAATATAAATAAATTTATAAAAATTAAGAATATTATTTATGACATAAAAAAGGGATTCAAAGACTGACTGTACATCTGATGGAAAGGGATCACAGAATCCATTGAACACCACTTCTGATGATAAGAATGCGATCGAAATGTTTAATGAGATCTTAAAACACATCCAAAAGACAAATGATTTGATGAATGATATGAATGGAGAGAAGGATAAGGCGTTGACAGCACTCGAGGGGATCAGACAAGTGGTGGACAACACGGACACTGAATCCACGGCTAGTGTCCAGACATTGAATGAACACATGAGTGAACTTAATATCTCAATATATGATTAAAATAAATACTTATTATTACTAATGTTATCATCAATTCATTCGTATATATTGTATATTATTAATAATAGTAATTTATTATATTTATATTACCCTGTATCGTTACATTATTTTAAACCATAACAGTTCTGGAAGTGCTGAAGACATACCGGTGGACACAATGGCAGACAAGATCTTATGGTTTGAGCAGAAATACAGTCAGCTATCGGCAAAAGACTGTCAAATGTTTAGACAATTGTCTGGACTTAGGTTTGTGTGAATCCTATCGTAAATACGTATATATACTGTATATACAGTATACGGGTCACAACAAGCTGAAACGATGGATGTGATTTTAAATGAAATTTATTTATATACGATGCAAATTATTTATTTATTTATGTAATAAAGCAAATAATAACTATTTTTATTTAATTTATTTTATTAATTAATCATTACAATACAACTTTTAATTAAAAATTTTAATTTATTCAAAGTTTGATAAAAAATTTACAAAAAATTCTTGATTTTGTGGGTTTAGGTATTTGAGTTGCGATTTAATGTCTTTAATTTTTTCCTTACTTATTGTAGATTTGGGTGAAATTTCAATATATTTAATGCATTGTTTTAATCTATTTCTTGTGGTTTTTAATAAATTTGTTTTGTGCATAACTCAATTATCGTCATATGACTCGTAAAATATAACAGTACCGGGGGTTTTGTATTCAATTCTATGGCATTTTGTAATTTTAATCATTTTGTTTGCTATAATATATTTGTTAAGCAAATATTCAAAATCTTGTATATCAAGCTTATGTAATATAAACTTTTTGCAATCATTTATAAGACTCAAATATTCATTAGGATTTTCAATCCTGTTTCGTTTTAAATTTGTTGGAAATAGTACCAAAATTACTGTCACAAATATTAAATGAATGACCCCGTTCAGGGAATAAATGTGTTATGTTAATATTAAATAATATTGAAATATAAATACTAAACTTAATTACATTTCAGTTTCTATTCTGACCACCACAGGCGTCGCTCAAAAAAATTAATTGTTTGCCATTCATATCAATATTATTACTAATAAAATTAATTACATGATTCAAATAAGTAGTGATACTATTACTTCCTTTTTTAAACTCTCCCTCTAATGAATGAAAAATATATGAAAAAGGTTTTGCTTTGTTTGGAATATTATGAATATGAAAATTACATAAATACATGTACAAACACCTTTTATAATAAAACTCACTATTGTTTAATACTGGAAAGGATTTGTTACTACTGTAATGAAATTCAATGCAAATATTGTTAGCATTATTTAAATTTAGAAAGAAATTATAAAATATCGAGAGTTGAGATAAATTTACGTAAAATATAAGTTAGCGTAATCATAATAAACTTATTTCTGATGTCCGTAGCGTTTCTGGATTTGGGTATTAATGTCAATTTATTAAAATAATCATTAAATTTACTAATAGATAAACGCAATTTTGAATTTGGTTTTTGATAAAAATATTCAGTAAATAATTCAAATAACTTTTTCTTATTTAACTCTGACAACGTTTTTATATTAAACAGTCAAAATCATGACGCTATTACCCTCCCAAGCCTACCCTAAACAAAATTTTTCAATAAATTTAATTAGGTTTGTAGTATTATTTAACGACAAAAAAGTAAACAACCTCGCTTATCTACCAAAATTTCATTATTTCTTATTTTTGTTTGAATTGTTTGTAAACGTCTTGGAGTTATTTGAAATAATTTTAGCAATAATTGTTGACAAACATTTTGTTTCAAATTATCAATTGTAAAAAATATTCCCAAACAGATTTACCGTTTGGATATTAAATAAATAGTTCAACTGTCGGGTCCTGTCACACAAGAAATAGTACCTAGGTATTACATAATTTGGTTAATAAGTATAATTTGTATATAAAATTAATTTAAAATAAATTTATAATTCCATAACAAAATTCCTAGTAATATAAAAATTAAATTATATACATTATAAACCATATTATTTTTAATAATTAAACTAGATCAATATTACATTAACAACTTATAACTAAAAATCTTAAACTATAACTTACTTTTGGAAATATTTGTTTTGCAATTCATTTGATATGATTTTATAGTACTCAAGTTTACAACACTGATCTCCCTTGTACGTTTTGTACAACTCACGCTGTTAATTTTTAAAAAATAATTAATAAAAATCGTGTATAATTTTATACTCACAGAGTTGCGTTTAATTTTGTTGACATTTTTATCCGACAAATTGGGATGACTTTTGGGTTTCACTCCCTTTTCTGTTGACCTCTCATCCAATTCGCTATTAATGACAGCCATTGGGATTTTGTTATCAGGTCACCCCCAACTGCTGTCCATTACTTTGTTGAGAAACTTATTGTTATTCATAATTACTATTAAATAACTAGTTATTGGTTATAAAAACAATTGAAATGATTTGTTGTTTTGTTTACTTTTTAATTATATAAATAGCCCTAACCTCAGGACACAAGTGATTGACGATATTATATCTGAATTTATAATACAATTAAATGAAGGCAAAAATCAGCTATCATATAATTATGTTTCATAAATACTATAATAAATCATAGCTATATATTATATAGCTTTCAAATTAATATTGTTTTAATTAATTATATAAATAGCCCTAACCTCAGGACACAAGTGATTGACGATATTATATCTGAATTTATAATACAATTAAATGAAGGCAAAAATCAGCTATCATATAATTATGTTTCATAAATACTATAATAAGTATCATCTATGCAAAATATTCCAAATTAGTTTTGCATATTAATATTTATAAAATAATTACTGATATTTTATAAAATAAAAATTACTTTTAAATACAAACATTTTATTCTAACTATTATTATGCTGTAAGTTTATTATACATTTTGTTAGTAAAACAATTAAAATTAAAATGCATGAAAATTAATCATGTTTAATTCTATGCTTTGCATTATTTTTACTTAAAATATATGTCTTAACAAAAAAATTCATAAACAGCACCAAAAACAGGGTATATATCGTAACTCCAAACTTAGCCGTCTCTATGAACACATCGCATGCCTGTCCACTCATTTTCCGATCAATAGCCACATAATTGACGTAAAACCCGGCAATCATTTGCATAATTTGTAGCAAAGTTATCGCTATACTAGCGGTACGGGCGATTCGCACCCGCATTGCTTTCAACGCATAGTAGGTATACATAATAGAATGGACCCCGAAGTTCATGGTAACCATCCACTGATAAGTACCCGGGTATTCGCCTATACTATACCAACAGTAACATAAGGTCACGTGGTGTATCCAATGTAGTCGTATTAACCTCCGTTCATCAACAAAATAAACAGGGTATCTATGAGCTCAGCAATTTTAATTGTTTTACTAACAAAATGTATAATAAACTTTATTAACCTCCGTTCATCAACAAAATAAACAGGGTATCTATGAGCTCAGCAATTTTGGACCACACGAATAGGTTGTACCACCAGAGCACCCGTATGTCTTTGTAGTAATCAGACTGACATACCGTTGCCATAAAGCCTTTAGTGTAGTATAAGTGCCAGAATTGTGGTAAACACCTAACGGTGCCTAATATTGAGAATACAGCCAATGAGCAGTTCCATAGAATTAGCATGGTAGTTCATTTATAAGGCTTTCCCCTTATTTTCATCAATAGCCTTATGATTGGTATGAATGTGATATAGACTAGTGATATGTATACAGAATAATACCAATTCTGTTGCATATATTCCTGTATGGAATACATGTTAACTGTACGGAACACCCAATCCTCCCATTCCGTGAGCACCGGTATGTACGCGAAACCATAGGGAAATTGTTGCCAATTTTGGGACCACTTATTAGTGTTATTATAGCGAATGATATTATAGTAATTATAACGTAAATCTGTACACATTTTGTCAATTAAAAGCTTTCTTATTTGATCATACAAGTTTTAATTTATTAATGTCTAGATTTAGCTAGCATTTTATTATAGAAATAAATTTATGTTAAACATTTATCTAAATTTTACAGACACAAATTGTTTTGTTTAAATAAATGTTTACATAGTAAAAGTACAGTATGTGGTTACTATTTATAGAAATCACACATAGTTATTTAAAATTTAACAAGATAGTCGTATGATAAAATAAATAAAAACTTATTTTAATAATATCAGGTTTATATAATATTTTTAAAAACTTAAATTGTTTAAAATAGTTAAAAAAAGGTAATGAAATTATATTCTCATATGCAACAAAATAACATTATATTTAAATACACTTTAAATTTTATTTACCAATTATAAATTCATACGACTATCTTGTTAAATTTTAAATAACTATGTGTGATTTCTATAAATAGTAACCACATACTGTACTTTTACTATGTAAACATTTATTTAAACAAAACAATTTGTGTCTGTAAAATTTAGAAAATGTTTAACATATTTATCAAAAAATGATAGGTTTCATTGTTTTATAACAAAGTACAATATTTGCTATTTATGAAAACGATACAAACTTTTATAATTTAGTCGCAAGCACTGAACATTTTTTGATTAAATCAACTCAAATGATATTCAGGATATTCAACTAGGATATTCAGGACAAATTGTTTTGAAATTTATAAAATGTATTGTAATAGGACATACTGCATTCATAATTTAAATAATTTACATTTACATTCTTATGGTGGTAGTTTTTAATACTTAGAAGGAATTTCTCGATACGGAAAGTTGGGAATGCTAGTTTAATTTGTATGTTCATAAACTTAATTATGTCATTAATAAATGTGCATGGTCAAAAAGTGCGATTGCGGGCGATAAGTTGGTCATTTTATGGTCAGTAAGTTGGCTGACATGGTCATTTTTGAATAGCACTTTATATGACTACATTATATGTATACATTTTCCGAAAAAATTTGCCGCACATTGAGTGCGCACTATACGGTTGAGTGCCGTCTAAACTTTTAGTACATATCGTCTATTCAAATAACGTTAATTCATACAAAAATGACCATGTCAGCCAACTTACTGACCATAAAATGACCAACTTATCGCCCGCAATCGCACTTTTTGANTTAATATTTTATAAAATAAATTTTTTGCCAACATTAAATAATGAAAATTTTATTTTTTTATAAAATATTTTAAACATTTGAGCATGTTAATAGTCTTGATTACTAATATTAACTAGATAAGAAATTTGTAGTAAATCAATAATTATCTTATTGATACTTAAACTACCAAAAGCATACATATTTTATAGGCAATTTAGACGTCAACTCTTAGTGCCATTTCATGTCCCGTTCCCACAGCAACTCCAGACCCGTTCCCTTCCACACCTCCTCCACCCGTTTATCAATCAAATCGCTCTCATCTCTCGACATAACAGCCCTCCAGTCGCCGACAATCCCTTTCCTGTATTGTCGATAGCTTTCGCCGTAAATACGTTTCATATTCTCGATACGGGACGCCTCTATAATACAATCCAATAGTGTGTCACTACCCGTCCCATTGGGACACCTCTCGTACAGCCTGTCCACGTGTCGTTTGCCCAAAAACGTGGCGATCTCTACGATGCATTCGCGCAGATGTGTCGCCATATTTTCGTACGTAACAATAGTACAGTTGCCGGCCTCCCGGTGACGCCAATTGGCTAACATGGCGTCGAAATAGTCGCCGTACGGCAGTTCCCCGCCGGACATCCATTTGCGGAAGAACTCCGCAAAAGTCATGTCCGGGAAATACATGTCTTTCATGGTGTGATAATACGAAACGCAAACGTCTTTCGGATTTCGACCTATAATTAGATACTTTGCGTCCGTATTATAGGCCAACACATTGAGACTAAAGTGAGAGCTCATGTATCGGCACCGACAGCCCGGGATCTGTAGCTTATTCTCCAGTACCTGTTTTCCGTGAACCTCCAAAAAGCAGCCGGTATATTTAAGTGGATGATCGCTCAAAATTTCTCTACCAGTCAACAAGCACCATACTATATATGTGACCAGGTGATATCCCGTGTTAGGATAAGCAAGTACAAAACGGTCCCCGTCTTGAGGCTTGTAGTCGAGCGCGAATTCCACGCTTTCCCTGATGTGGTATTTGTTAGTAACCAAATGACCACGAACACTTGTGAATTCAGTTGACATGTCAATATTAATTTTCAGTCGATATTAATATTGTATTATGACGATTGTTGCTTTTATACACTATTACAAGGTTGTCTATCATTTGACGTACGTTCATTTGACCTACATTCATTTGACATACAAATGTTTATTTAAACTACAATATATGTAGTTGGTGGTAGGCCTATTTTTTGTATTTTTATCCCCAAAACACAACTGTATGTTAGTATATCGGATTCAAGTGGGGTTTATTGAATTTTTACCCTCAAAACACAGCTCTATGAAAATGTATGAAATTGAATCTGGTAAATATAGGGTCAAAGATATCGATATTTCAAATTTCAAATGTGGTCCCACTTTTGGTTTTAAAATCTATGAACGCTTCGCGGTTATTAAGACTCTCCCAAAGTTAGAACATAATAAGTTTCAATTTGGCCTTGTTATAGTAAATTTTATTTTGGGGTTTAAAATAAATTTCGGTTTTTCTCGGTTGGAAGTCACTTCCCAAAGCTAGGTTAGAGTGTCAGTCACAGTGTCGATAGAGCCTTATTTTAGACAAATTTTATAGTTTTGCCCATGTCCCTAGCATTTCCCGTTTGTTAAATATGGATTATTTAGATTTTGTGTGGGGTTTTCACTATGTTGGGTTGATATATAGGGGTAATATACTAAACCCCCTTCTAACAACAACTGCATTAACTATAGGTCTAATAAAACTTTGTAGGTCAAATGAACGTAGGCCAAATAAACGACTCACATATTACAATTAATTTTTATATGAAATTTAGGACAAATTTCTTAACAATTTAAAATTGATTTGTAATAGGATATTTAGTACAAATTTCAAAACAATTAAAAATTGATTTGTAATAGCCTATCACTAATAGAACATTTAGTAACAAGTATTAAATGTGCATTAAAAATTTCAAATGTAACCCTGTACGTTTTTAAATAAATCTCCATAAATCTACCTAGTATCCTATTTATTGCATCATATTTTTCATAGATAAAGAATTAAATTGCCTACATTTTGCACGTGACAATTCTGCATGTTTAAATCACTATAAATTAATTTAAATCATTAGATATGAATCAAATTCTTAGAAAAGTTCACAAACTTTCTCTATGGCCCCTCCAAAAGCTCGTTCACTAATACTGTACCCCCACCCCCCGTCAAATAACATACGCTTTTGTCCTGAATGTCCTATTACAATTCATTTTTATAAAGGGGGTATCGGAATAAGGGTATCATATTCTCTAATTTAAATGAAAAATATGATGCAATAAATAGGATACTAGGTAGATTTATGGAGATTTATTTAAAAACGTACAGGGTTACATTTGAAATTTTTAATGCACATTTAATACTTGTTACTAAAT